CCCAACACAAGTTATAAATTCGGGCACCGCCGGGAATCGAACCCGAGACCCCAGGATTACAAGGCCATCGTGATTAGAAGTCGTTTATACTGCATTTCATCTTCACCAGTTACTTAAAATATCGATTTAGCTGTCACTGATTATGTCCAGTCTCTGTTGAGACACATATTTATTCCAAAATTATAAATTTTTTTTAGGCATTTTAACACTTTCCTGGACGGGGGCAGATCTTTCGCGAAGCCTCTAACTCCACTCAGAGAGATGCGAACACACGATGCGCTGAGTCTGTGTGGACCTGCGGAACCTGAATTTGAGGGGTCCTAGGTTTTGTGTTACTTCGATTACAGAATCGCTGCGTTAAACTGTTGTTTTGAGAACATGTGCTTTTTTATATTTTCACATTTCTACGGTTTTGTTGCGAAGGCTATGTAGAGATTATGATAAATTATGAAGTGAAATAATAAATAATGGGTTTCAACTGCCTATTGAAGATGAAGGACTGATAGTTGTACCTTGTCCAGTTGACATCTTGTTCCTGAGCGTAGTGTCGTCACTTTGTGCCTGTCCAATAGAAAACCTTGGCTACGAATCGACCACAGATCTGCGCCGAAATTCCTTCATTAAAATTCGCCTTCTACCATCCGTGCTCTGTTCGAGGGCGATTCGACCCGCATACGAAATGGGGCTTCCCCGTTTTCAGCTTTGTCCTGCCTGAAGAGTCTGCTGTATGTATGTTAATTAAAACACGGAAAATTCAGACTCAATTTATTCATACTACAGACGTACACGATTAAAAGTTGAAATATAAGCTTTAATATTCATATAATGGTGCATACATATCCACGATCACAAAGAACGTTTCATGGAGATCTATCCATTATGGCAGTGGTATTCAATCTGGGGGTACGCGAAGACATCTTAGGGGGTACGTGAAATTTAAAAAAATATATTATTTTATGATAAAAACTGAATAATCAGTAATGTAATTTATTTAATTTATTTCAGATGTAGATTATATACTATGTATAACTTGAATTATACACCAACGACTTTGGGGGTACAAAGTTGAAGAGAAATTATATCTGGGGGTACGCGAAGACATCTTAGGGGGTACGTGAAATTTAAAAAAATAAATATTATTTTATGATAAACACTGAATAATCAGTAATGTAATTTATTTAATTTATTTTCGATGTAGATTATATACTATGTATAACTTGAATTATACACCAACGACTTTGGGGGTACAAAGTTGAAGAGAAATTATATCTGGGGGTACGCGAAGACATCTTAGGGGGTACGTGAAA